ATCTGAATTATAATATTTCTGACTGTCAAAATTTCCCATATTCAAATCGAAGTGAATCGAATCGAATTAAATCGAATCGTGGATCGAATCGATTCTGGACCTTGTGAATCGGAATTGAATCGATTCTAGAAATCAGTGACGATACCCAGCCCTAATGATTACCTCTTTAGTGGCATGTCTGCCAATGACCAGGAGAGGGAGCTCTAGACCAGAGGAAAGCTACACTGCTGCTGAGTAAGCGCCATCAAGCTGACGAGCAACCTGTAGGAAAATGTAGGCTCGGCGTCAGATTAAGGTTTCAGTGATTAGTGAATTCAAATGTGAGAAAAGCCAAAAATTCCTAGTTTTCCCTTTTCCTCGTTTTAGTTGGCGTGAAGTGAACCTTTAATACATTTAGTCTGTTAGGGGGTTAATGTTAGCCTGTGCAGTGTTTTCAGTGGTCCAGCAACTTACATTTAAATCTAGTACCTTTAAATTCCATAAAAATATGGAAAGAAAAATATACACACACACACACATAAACATATATGTATATAAATGACTTCTGAGTAGTCCTTTCCAGTGGGATATAGCTGTCAATTATCATTGGCTCGTTTAAGTACAGTTAGTGAATTTTTTCGAGGCTAACATTCTAATTTGTCCCAGCATAAAAACATGCGGGACTAATAAACTGAATCCAGCTTTATGTTGCAAGTCCTCAGAAAAAGCTTTTCTCAGCCTTGCTTTCCCATGAAATGTTAAACATCAATTTACTCCAGGTCAGTTTTTATTCACCAGCTCATAGTTACTTTGTATCAATTAATGCTGAAAATACCTTTATTTACATACACAAAACAAAACAGTGTTTTTGTGCACCATATTTGGTAATTAATGAAGTAATAAGTTTACCTTCATACTCGAATAGGTGCCAGTATGTGATTTTTTTTTAGCTTTAGAATATGACACTTGACAAGGCTGCAGTTTTTAACAGATCTTAGATGTATTTTTTTTTGGCCCTGGAAAATTAATCTGGGTCTCAAAGACGATGGCGATAATAAAGTGAATAAAAGCACCAACATTTATCCACCCTGATGCCCTCAGAGGGCCTGGAACTACATTTTTATAGTATGATGGTACAAAAATCACCTGATCGTCTCAGACCTGCGAGGATCTTTTTCCACTTTTTGTTTGATTTTTCTTACGTAGCCACTCACCAGGTAACTCTTTAAAACAGGCCAAGCCTCCTACTGATCGTCGGCATTTGTCTGCAAAAAGGAAGGAAAAAAGCATCACTGCAACATCTAGCTAAAGGGAATATATATACACAAGTACACATACTTGCATTTACAAAAACAAATATATATGTAAATACACACACGTATGTGCTCAGATAAAACAAAAAAAGAAAATAAATAAGATAAAACAGAGTCTAAATGACATGAAATGACAATGTCAGTCGGCTACTTTGCCAGCTCAATAACTGCATATGGGAGAGAAGTTAGCCTACGTGGTTTTCTGCCCGATGGGTCTTTTGAGAAAGTGGCATTTAAACCCAAAACGTGATCTTAAACCTAAACAAGAACCTTAATCGTTACCAAACTGTGACTCAGAACTGAAATTAATGCATGTGTTGAGACCATAATGTGTTAAAACACATGTCACACCTTGGCAGAAAATATGCTCACTTGTGTTGTCTAAAAATTTAAATTGCCAACAACCTCTTTTATGTTTACATGCACTTGTTATGTATTCGTTTTGGCTGGACTGGTGAAATCTTTCCCCCAGCAGGGCCACAGCAACAGGTTCTGAAGGTGGGGACATCTCTCAACCAGCCGCAGCACTTTGAAATAATGTGTTACTGTTTCATGCAGGCTGATGGCTAATTTTAGCACTATATGTGTTACCAGATGATGTGTTTCCATCCATCACTGTGGTTAATGTGTCAGGGTGGGCTGATGATGAGCGGCTCATTGGGATTTTTTGGAGAATATTTCTTAGAAGCTGCTACTAGCACTGCCATCAGCCAAGTGGCTTTACTGCAGGAAGCAAGGGGAAAGTATCCTGCTTTATTTTATTCTCATACATTGAAAGTGGATTTTATTTGAAGTACAGGAATGATGAATGCAGCAATGACCAAAGACATCTTTGATGATAACCTCCTCAGGACCTTGGATTGGGGCGAAGCACGTGGCTGTGACGCTCCCATCCATCTGACGGAGCTTCAAGTTCTGTAAAGAGGAACGGGAGTAAAAATGCACCAAGCTGTGCTTGTAGTGTCATCCTCAAAAAGACGTAAGACTGTAACTGCTGCCAAAGATGCTTCAACATATTATTGTGTAAAGGTTGTGAATATTTATGTACATGTATTTTGTTTTATTTTTGATACATTTTGATGAATTTGAAGCAAAAATCTTTCACTTTGTCATTATGGGGTGTTCTGGGTGTTCATGGTGAAAAATGAATTCAACCCATTTTGGAATAAGGTTGTCCAAAGTTCAGGTGGAGCGCTAACCTGGTGGAGGAGGTCTCGGGAATCCAAACTGGGAGCTGGTTGCACAGAAGATGAGCCTGAACTGCTCTATTGGAGGGAGACGATCCTATGTGGTCTTTAGGAGAAGATGGGGCCTGATTATTCAAGAGGAGCAGGATTTCATATTTGATTCTGGATTTAACAGGTAGCCAATGAAGAGAAGACAATATGGAAGAAATCTTCCATCTCTTTCTAGTCCCTGTCAGGACTCTTGCTGCAGCAGT